GCTATTTTGCAGTTGATTCTGAACCTAATTTTTTTTTTTTTTGCAAATCNGAAAAAATGGACAAGGCGAATCCGGGAAACACAATTAAATTGGTGTGGTCTTAGAATGGGGCGAAAATTGGGGAAACTCGACTAACTATAACAGACAAGAAATCAAATTGCTACAATATTAGTATCTAAGCTACATTTACTGAATGTCTAAAATTTTAAATTCTGAAGTTTGAAATAAGTGATCTGTAATGTTTATTGCAAATGAATGGATTTTGTAATAGGACTTTCCAAATTATAATGAAAATCTGATGATGTAGATGGAATGACCCATATTTCTAACAACAATCACTACCAATTCAAAAACAAGTTGTGTTTAGACTATATATATTTCATGAAGATACATAAAGTCATTAATAAAAACAATTAATAATCTGATGTACAATATACAGGCATGACAACCATAAATTAATCCATATTTGAAGGTTTGATACAATTTTAACTGTTTTCAGACCAGGAACATACAATATGTCATACAGTATGCATCCCACTTGCCATAATCCATATTCTCTTTTCCACATTTACAGTAATGGACACTTGTGACTACAATTTCCATTTTCCCAACTGTACCTATACATGCTATTGCCACATTATACATGTAGTTACACCAAGAACATGCACACATTTGGACATGTGCTACACCATAGAAATAACCAGCCCAGTGTACCATGTTTAAACCAATTAACTAACCAACCAATCACAGATCTTCCTCCATCTAACTACACTATACCTTCTCATCTATCTATCACAGTCCATGGAAACCCTGTAACTGTAGGGGCAAATTGTAGTTTTGTTTCTTTTAAGCCCGTACACAGAGCAGCATGCAGGTCATGTTTACTGAACATTATTTTTCTACTGAAAGTTTAATGGATTTTACCCCACCTAGCTAAAGACATGGTCACTTGTCATGATGGCTCTTTTGTAGTTTTTACACCAGAAAAACAAAAAAAAACAAAAAAACAATAACAATGTTACCACAAATAATGCAAGAACACCACTTGTATGGCAACACTGAACTACTATTTAGTATTCTGTGTGTTTTCTATCAAAAGTAAGGAACTGTGGTGGATATTTCCCACCAAGATGTCAGGTACAAAATCAAGGCATCTGCTGGTTTCTCTCTGGAAGAAATCCTGGGATAATGGTGAAGCTGTACCAACATAACCTTCTATTAACAACAGACAACAGGCAAGTTTAAAGTTAAAACTTTTGATCCAACACAAAAACATTCTCTTACCTAGGGCTTTCAACCAGTCACACTTCAAAGAAGCCATGTGACAAGCCTCACTGGGTCAGTCTACTGAGGAAGACCAGAGTGACTGGTCGAAAGCTCTAGGTGAAAAAACTTCTTTGTGTTGGAATAAAAGTTTTAACTTTAAACAATAACATTGTAACTACAAACACATCGATAGATGAACTTTCATGATAGACAGCTGTCTAGTCTGTATAACATTGTATTCACTGGAAATTCTACAGGGAAGACAACGACTCATATACTTGATGTGTCCAGGCATCTGTGCTACTACCAGGAGCGATAGGCTGCCAAGTTTCTGTTGGAAATGTGCATGTGCGAAGTAGGGCTGCGTACCTAAATGTAACATCAGGTACAGGTACAGAGGTTTAGGTACAGGTCCTGTACCTGTACCTGTACCTGTACCTGAACAATTTGACAAATTATGTTCTTCTGAACTCGCTCAATAACATTAAGAACAGTAATACAGAATATTGAGATAAAACGGACAGAACTAAGCGTCTTATGCCATTCAAACAAAACAGAACCATGTGGACTGTCTCTTGCTCCCTACAATACTTGAAAGAACTGTTGCATACATGTATTATGTTATGCTCCTTTTAGATGTCACTTTGGTCACTTCTGTGTCATATCGATGTCCGGTACTTAGTGATTCAGTATTTTGGACCTGTACCTAATTGACTTTTGCGGTACTGTACTTGTACACAGAACCGGTACGCAGCCCTATCGGTAGTATGAAGCTGCAGGTGAGGACAGCTCGCACAAAGGTGGAGCATACAGCACATTTAGTGTATGATTCTTGGGAACTCTCTTTCAGTGAACCAAGTACACAATGTACTGATGTCGAAGCAACAGAATTCTCAACAGAAAGTTGGTGGCCTATCTCCTGTGCTACCATTATATGAGGCTAGTTTCCACATATGTGCTCCACAACCTACATTGTACTACATGTGTTCAGCTGGTGTGCAACTACTATTACACACTTTAAACACAAACCAGCTGTGTGCAAGAGAAGGAGTACGTGTACCTAGAATTCCATCCCTACTAGTCATGTACAAATGTACACTGTAGACATTCTTTTAGGCAATACCATTGCAATGCCTTTCTCCAACATGTGTTTGGTATTACATCTTGAGAAGCTATAGATTTACATGATTAGCATGCCTACCAGCAGTCCTGCCGTTTTATTTTCTTGTGAGAGACAATTGATTGTTACCAGACAAAGTATTCTAATTTGTGAAGGCAGACTGTGCAAACAAGTTGTACAGACTATAGTTGATGAAAGTCACATGTTTAACTATAACTGGATGATTTGTGTTTTACAGTTCTTCATTTTTAACCTGAGCTCCAGTGACTCGACTTGTCTGTTTTGCTGTCTGTCTCCGTTCCTGCGTGGGCTGGCATCGCGGTCCGACGGGGAGAAGAGGCTACGGAACTTGGTCAGGGGCGACAGTTTGATGAAGTCTGTGTTCTCTGCTGAAGCGTTGGGCTCTGCAATGCTGTTCACGGCAACAGGCTCCTCTACCCCGAGTTTACCTGGAGTTTCACTGTCAGTCGCCAGGGGGCTTGTTGACTCGGACTGAGGTACTGCGGTGATGGCAAGATTCTGCTCTTCTGTTGAGCCCCTGTCTCCTTGTATCTCCTCTTCCTCCCCAGTCTGGCTCAGTTCTTCGGCTTCTTCTTTACTCTCTCCATCCACAACTCTGTCATCTTCTGCTCCTGCTCCTGTTGGTGAAGAACTGAATTTTGAGTCAACTGATAAAGACAGTTCAAATATCTTTCTCGCTGGCTTGAAGAACTCCAGGATGGTGTTTTTCTTGCTGTCTTCCCTGTCCGGGGTCTTGCTGTCCGTAGCACCAGCGTCCGGCTGTTGTTGCTGTTTTTGAGGGGTACTTTGACACGACTGTGACTCGGGTGTCGGCAAGCCGTCTTCCACTTTGTTGCCATCCTGCTGCTGTGCACCGTTTTCTTCCTCTTGGGGTGCAACGACCTTAATGGCCACAGAGGTCATGGTCCTTATGTCTGTGTCCAGGTCTGAGGCTGTTTGAGGGGTTGTGTAGTCCTCCCCCTGTGTACCCTCCTCTCCCTTGCCGGCCATGATGTGGATCCGTGTGTGGCTGGAGGGCGGGCTGGAGGCCAGGATGCCACAACTCTCCAGCACGAGGTCGTCGGCCTCCGTCACGATCAGCTCCTGCAGGCTTTTCCGTTTGTTGTTGTTCTGGCCGCAGCTGGCGAGGATGGCCTCACAGTCGTCCAGGCTCAGGTTGTCGAAGGACTCCGTCTCCGAGCTGCTGTCCGACAGGGTGACCCGGACGCTCATGTTGGCGCCCTCGTCGTCTGCCTGTCCCGCCGACTCCTCGCCCTTCTGGAAGTACACGATGCCGCCGCCGGACTTCTTGGACAGGCTGACGCGGCGAGCGTGGGTGTGCGCCCGCACGCGGCGGATGGGGTTGAAGGAAGATATCTTGTTGCGGACGCTGCTGAGGATGAAGGACCTGGTGGTGGGCTGGGAGACGGTGGCGACCGTGGATATGGAATCTGCCGAGTGGTCCCGTGGAAAGCGGGTGCGGGCCCACGCGCTCAGGCGGGTCTGAGCCGAGATGCTGATGATTTCTTCGTGAGGTTTTGTTTGTCTCCTACAGAAATAAAATCATGGTCATGCGGTTTTCTGATAAAACTAGAAAGGTCACATTTGTGAACAAGTACACAAATACACATCAGTCTAAAAACTGCCCAAAGGACACAAATGATACAATGAAAAGTGATGTATGCCAAAAAGTGTTCAAGGGTTCTGTGGTCCAAGGTACCCCAATTCTTAATTTCAGGCCATTTTCAGAGCCCAAAATATATATAATCGTTTGTCAAACTCAATTTGCCAAAAAAAAAGCAACTGAAACTATGCTAAAAGCAAGTAACAAAAATATGAAAAAGTCATACATCTATACTGAATTTCAGGTCATTTAGCTCCAAAATGAAGTTGAATTCATTAAATATATTAATATTTTATAAATATGGAGTGAATGTGTGGGTATATTTTTTTTAATCAAAATAGAGGTAATATCTTAAATTGTTACGTTCCAGTGTAACTCACTTGTCCAACTTTCCTTCTGCAACCTGGATTTGATGCCCTTCTGCTTCACAAGCTGCACGGAAGGCATCGGCTATGGCTTGTAGCAAACCTTGGGGAAAACAACACCATCATCACACAGTAACTGAACTTTTCAAAAGAACCATATTGTAGATGGCAGGATGGCTACAGAGTTGCCAATAACACTGTGACAAAGTTTTACAGAAATTAAAAGCAGATCTCTTCAAATTCAGCATGTTTTGACTTGGCAGTGTTATGGTTAATGCTGATATTTTGAGTCAGAGTAACTAAGATGTTACCTATCAATTCAGGATATATCAGATTCAGACATTGAGTTCAATGAAAAACAATGCTGTAATGTACGATTTACTGATTCAAGAATAATCTAGGAGACTTGTCATGCATGGTCATATTCTTCATAGGTCATTGTACAATTTTGTAGAATATGTAGAATTTTACACTGATGCAACTGGCCACCAACAAGAATTCTTGTTCCAACACAAAAAGGTAAAAGTTCTCACCTAGAGTTTTCCACCAGTCACTCTGGTCTTCCTCAGTAGACTGACCCAGTAAGGCTTGTCACATGGCTTCTCTGTAGTGTAATGTCAACACTTCACATCAGGGCACATTTCCCTTCACTCAACCATGACATGTGGCCGACATTGTTTACCAGATACCTGTGTTGACGTCACACTTCAGAGAAGCCATGTGATAAGCCTCACTAGGCCAGTCTACTGAGGAAGACCAGAGTGACTGGTCTGAAGCTCTAGTTGAGAACAATGCTTTATGTTGTGGATGACCTACATGTATGTGACTGCACCCTTACCTTTAGATTGGTCATCCCCTCTGCCTATAGACCGTAACGTGTGGAAGTACCCCACCTCCCCACAGTACTGGTGGTGGACACGCATGCAGTAGTACCTGGACTTAAACACAGACGGCTCCGGACCTGACAAGGAGGAAGCAGGAAACAAAGGATAAGATGCTACACAAATGAATTGCGTAAAGCCTTTAAAACAATCATTCAGAGTAGCAAGGTACTTTTATGTCACCTGGTGTAGCCCAAAAAAGTACTGCACTGTTTATTCTTACTATACCAAATACTAGTACATTCATATGTATAATGAACAGGCTCTCTAACTCTGTTCTGCCCAATACCACAAGGTGTTGCTACAGCATAGGTTACCATGGTGACAGGCATCTGGTCCAGGTCACTGACTTTATTTGTTTGGAATGGAAGAAGGTGAAACTGAGCAAAAACAATATCAAGGTACACATAAGTATTTTTCTGATGTTGTTGGTGTCACAAGCACTTTGAGATATGAAGCTCACCTAGCTCGATCTTTTCTAGATCCTCCAAGTTGACCCGTTGGTAGTGTGTGACCTTCTCAGCTTCTTCGTCATAGCTGTAACAAATATCATTATTATTAAATACATGTACTAACATTACAAACTAGAAGATTCCCTTAAGTACAAAACATACATGTAAGTGAATATAGTATATATATAGTTCTACGTGTAAATCAAACCACAATCATTATCATGAGTGAAATTTGCTAAAAGATTTGAAAATCTTACTATGCGATGTAGTAGGCTCTCTGGGTGAGAAGCAAGATAACGTCCATGTCAGGCTGTGACAGGTCTCCATCTCTGCACAAGATATATACAGGTACATATATGTTATTACACTGTATATAACATGGGTGACAGACTAACAAACATTACAGTCAAGTACATGTTACAATGTACAGGGCATGTCACTAAGGTTTCATGCAAGTAGTGAAGTCATCCAGTTGGCTCAAGCTGGTCACATGTCCTTGTTTGTGACCCATCACCATAGCAACAACAGGTCACACCCATCACCCACCCCATCACCTTCCACCAGTCACTGCACAGCCTACCCTGCAGTACCAGATCCTCCTGACAGGGGGAGCAGCCTCTTGACCTGCCCCAGCAAGCTGCCTTGGTCATCTGCCTGTTCCTCCGCAGAGTCTTTACTGCTGGTGTCCTCCGATTGGTCACCTCCGAACATGACTTCCCCCAACGTCTCCTGTGATTGGCTGATGAGCTGCTGCATCTTGTCCGGTAACTTTGAGACTTGTTGGCGAAAATTCTGTGGTATCAAATCCTTCAGAGACTTGTTGACTGTCTGATACCCCAAGTTCAAAACATCCTCACACCCTACATTCTGTACCATTTGATTATTTTCTGCAACTATTGCATCAGCTTGACCTACACCACCACGGATATCGTCCTTGGTTTCCTGACCGTTCCTTTCTGACTTATCCTTGTCTTGCTGACTAGTCTCTTCTGTGACTGACTGACCTACAGTTTGTACATATTTCTGTAATCTCAAAGGAACTTCAGAAAACTGTTGCTTGATCATATCCTGAAGTTTCTGCAAGCTCTCGGGTGGTCTTAAACTTGACAGTGCGTCCTGGGATATTGTAGACAACAGTGATGTTTGAGTCAGTGCTGAAGAGCCAGGCTCAGTTTGTACTTTCCTCCCATCTTGTTCAGGCAGCTGGACCTTTGCTTTGTTTTCCTTCACAACCTCTAAGTCTGAAGCTAGATTGTTTAATGACCGTGACTTGGCTTTCGTGTCATTTGTGTTGAGGGTTCGCGTGGAAGGTAAGAGTCGTGACAAGTCCGCCCTCGCTTCCTCTTCCAGTGCCTGACTCAACCTTTCCTCCAACAGCTGCGACCTTTTCCACACATACAGCAAGAAATGATTGGATTATGGTAATTGTCACTTGGACCAATGGGGTGTGTCCTAACTATCACCTGGACCAATGGGGTGTGTCCTACTAAGCTGGGACATACATGTAAGTGAATTCACAATGTTTTCAGGCAATACTGAACTTGTTCACCTACATGTACACAACATGCAAATTTGGGGATTCATTTTAAACTGCTTAAAAGATCAGTAACTGTAACAGTTGCACGTACTAGATGAGAAGATGTTTCTCATCGTCTGTTCTCAGTGTTTAACAATTAAATTCTGCAAAATGGTGCTACATCTAAAGGAATGCATTACGCTGCCATTTCAACAGAATTTACTGATAAATAGGTATACAGACACATGACAAACCATACTATTAGTATTACTTTCCATTCTGATTTTCATTCTGAAAAGTGAGTTTGAAGCCCTAACTTTTTTCTCAAGTTAGACTTTTTCCCTTCCTACATTTCAAAAAAATAATCCAACTTCAAATGTCACCCAGTTTCTGCCCTTTTAAAATATCAAAAATCTTGTTATGAGGAGTCCCTGCTAGTCCAACCCAAACTGCCAATGTTTTCCATAGTTTGTGTTTACTTAAATGTAATTCCTGAAAAAAAACCAGAAAGAGCTAGCTGGAAGAGCCAAAGAGCCAGCTGGAAGGTAAATTTTGTATGAGCAACTTTTGCATTCCAGCTAACTGTTAAAAAAAAGTTTGCCTTGAAAAAATTATCTTTTTTTAAAATTGGAATGCTTAGAAAACTCAAAGAAGTGTTTGTTGTATTCTAGGTAATGCTAAATTTTGTATGAACAAATAATACCTAGTAACTGTTAAAAAATGTTTGCCATGAAGAAATTCTCTTTTTTGAAATTTGGAATGCTCAAAAAGGTATACTTTGCATCCAAGATGTATTTGTATGAACAAATTTTACCTGTTACATGTAACTATTAAAAAGTGAAAAAAAATGTCTTTTTTTAAATTTGTAATGCTACATGTAAGAAAAGTATAAAGCAGTGTACCCTGGGTCACAGTCGATGAGCGCCCACCCGCCTGCGCACCCCTCTGCACCTGGCAGCAGCAGCTGTTTGCAGTGTTCTATCAGCTGTGCCACGTGGTCCTCCCTCTCCTCCAGCAGCAGCTCCTCCTCACGGCCAGACGACTGCAGGACGGTCAGGTCTTCACTCACCGCGTTTCCCAGCATCATGTCTGCGGAGGGGAAGGTTCAACAACCTGAGATACAGTATATCTTAGGCCATACCAATTTGATTTGTTGGTTCTCGGTTTTCTTAAAAAGAATATGAAGCAAAGACCACAAACTCACCAATAGTTGCTTGGCGGTAGGCATCTTTAAACCTGCTAAGGTAATACCTAAAAAGGGGAAGTCACAAATTCAATTTCAAAACAAGGAGTCTTAATCAAGCAGACAACAACTCATATTGCAGCTTTTAGATTTCCTGCATTGATTTTAACAGAGCTGTTCAATGTTCAAATAGAACAGGGTGTTCAATCTGGCTTGGTCCATTAACAAACAATAATGTAAACAACTTTTAATGATGTACATGTAGCTGGTAACATAATGTATACCTGTTGGCAGACTTGTACCCATCGTTCAGGACCCCTGCTAACTTACGCTCCCCTGTCCGGGTAAAGTCACCCTACAGAAGAAACAGAGAAATTTTAAACAACTGTTACAACATACATCTCAAAGACAGTCATGAAGAATGCTGTGGTCAAACTCTGTGGTCACACTGCGCCTGTGTGAAAACCCTGATTTTTCACAGTTTTCGTTGGATGTCTGGTTAACGTTGCATCAGAATTTTGCCTGTTGCAGAGGATATCTTTTCTGATATAACATTTGGAAACTACAGATGGGATGTTGACCTTATATACACAAATATGACCTTATATGAGACGTTCTGCCAAAGTGCTATGCACGAAACATTACTGTTTTCGCGCAGGTGCAGTATGTTCTGCCGATGTGCTCCTTGGGAGTAAGGCCTAGGAAAAAAAGTTGTGTTTTCTGTTTCAGTCCCTGAAAAATTAGGGTTGATAGGTAGGGATTATCTTTCTTTTCTTTTCTTTTTTTAAAGACTTTGGCAATCTCTAGTGATCTAGCTTACAAAATACAGTTTAACAAAGTAAAACTTGCAGGAGTACAGTATATTTTCAATGTCAATGTTGGAAAACTGATTGTACAACGTTTCATCACTTACATGTAGGTGTCAGATAATGGAGCTAGAAAAGGTCGATCAGCTCGAAAAATTAATGTCCCTTGCAGGGGTCCATCCAAAAAAAAGGCTAGGGTCGGCAGTTTTTTCTAGGGTTGGTCGGGAAACACGACTTTTTTCCAAGGCCTAATATGAGTCGCCACCTACCTTCATGGCTGCAGTTCCTGCGTACTGCCTGCTGATGGCATCTCCGTTGTTGGCCCACATCTGTTGGTAAACAACCCGACATCGTGACGGCAGTGTCTGGTCTGGCATCATCAGTCCCAGCTTACGCAACTTCAAACACGACAGGAAGACATTGACAATATTAGGATCAACAGGTTTCCACAAAATAAATCTGTGTATATTAAAAACTACTGTATATATAAATATGTAGTTTTTGTGTATATTGAGTCAATATGAAAGACAAATAAAATGGCCTGAAACAAGTTCAACGTGTTTGCACAAAATAAAACTGTACATTAAGAAAAAATATCATGAAAAAACTTAGGTTGACAATGTGGATATTTCAGAGCTTCAACAACCCCTTTCTGTATCTGTCTGTCTACAGTATTACATCTAAGTATCTGTCTATGTTCAGGGTATAACTGTTATTTTCTTTTAAGTTTACTAAATAGCTGTTTTGTTCACTACATTTTCTACTAAACCTGAAACAAAAGAGCACTAGATTCAGGTCCTGTACCTGTATCTCCATGACAGTCCTAGCGATGGCAGACTGCACCACGTTGGTCCTGTCCAGACAGTCCATGCAGTTGGTCCTGAACACGCCCTGCTGTTCACAGATCACCCCTGCTGGGTCAACCCTGGAAACCCCACACAGAGTATACTAGTACATGTAGAAGAGCATTGTGAACGTCTGTGTATTACCTGATCTACCCATTATACATGTCAAACTATGTCAAAACTATGTGTATTTTTTCCGAAGTTAGTTTATTCACCAACTCCTAAAACAAGACAACCTGACCTGAAACTCATTGTTATACCATGTTCTTTCATTGTGTTCAATGATTTTTGCAACACTTGAGATGACTTACACTTCAATAATAGGTTCCTTCTTTTACTTAACTGTAGGTAATTTAGGTTGCCAGTGATCCATACTGCAAAAGCAGTCCTCACACTATCACAGAAATAACACTGGAACTACTGGACCAAGTTAAGTTTTAACTTTGAGCTGGAACAAAATTCTGAACTTTCAAATGTTGTACAGTCCTATTTACTAGAACGTAAAGAAGAGAGGAAGCTTACCAGCTGTATCTCATTGCCCGGATGAGGTCCTTGATGCTGTCCACCAGCACACACACGTTCTCAAACTTCATCCCCCGGCTGTCACAAACATGCAAACAAACGTTTGATTTCAATACTTTGCGAAGTTTTCTAAGTTTAGTACAGTTTCTCATGTATAAATGACAAATTTACTTGCAGTAATTTTGCCCCTTGAAACAGCATAGGATGGATATCAAGCTAACACACTAGCACTAATTTGCTAAAATATCTCACAACAAGACATAGTACATTGTACTATGTCGATTGTCAAACATCCTCATCTTATGGTGCAAAGTTGAAACGGGGCTCTAGTCAGCTCAATTTTTTTTTCCAACTGATGCTGATCTCTTAAACTTATTTTAATATGGCAGAGGTACAATGTATGAGATTTGACGTCACAATATGCACATTCTGCAACTTGACAACTGAAAAATCATGCCTTGTTGATGATTGAAAAGATTATTTCAAAAAGAAGTTTTACAATGCACTGCTGTCTCATCATCTGTATTTCGAACATCATCATTTCATCATCATCAATACATGTAGAGGGGCTCACCAGTGTTCATGGAAGTCAAACGTGATGTAGGTGAGTTTGGGACTGTCCAGGTTGAGGATGTGCGTGAGGAATGCATCTCCTATAACCTTCTCTCTCCCAACCTGATCAACTAGGTTTGCAACAACCTGAACAGAAAGAAACACTGGGCATTTCAGACCTCATTCAAATAGAACCATTCTTGTGTAATGCAACAGGAACATCAACAGATACCCAATTATGCAAATAATGACCTAATTTGCATTATTAATGTGAAAATTCTATGATTCCTTCATGGTGAATGATAGGAATATTATACCTTGTGACATGTGTAAGTTAATTAAAGGTTATCACTATGCATATATCATGTTAATGTAGATGTAATTTGCATAATTAATGAAACATTGCCAAATGATAGGAATATCACACACAAAATAATGTTTAGAAAACCATACAAATGTAGAATAGATTATGGTAATTATGACATTGTTTCCATAATCAATGAGCCAATTTAAAAGATGATGGATGTTGATGTTAACTATGACTTACTTGACTCCCATATGTGTCAAATTGCTCTTCAAAGTGTTTCTCAAAGGCTGCTTGGGTCTCTACTTCACCTAAAAAAATGTAGACACAGCAAATGTTGAATGACAGGCTACAATTTCAAAGACATTAAGCACTTATGATCATTCAAAATTTGATAAAAACCACACCCATTTCCACTGACCAACAATCCTTGGGTAACTCCAACTAGTACATGTAGTTCAATCCAATATTATTGATAAAGATGAGTAGCTTTTAAACAAGGTCAAAGACAGTTTGATTGGCTACATGATGATCCACTGTTTGCAGTGATGACATGCCTAGCCAGTGCCAATAACGTCATTGTGTTTGTGAAAAATTTTTTTAATCAGAAAATTGTCTTTGGAAATTTCTACAGGGTACATGTATTGTAGTGCACCTGTACTGACCTCGGTCAATCCTGGGAGGGGGTCGGTACCTGATCCCTGGCTGGCTCCAGAAGATGGGCACCGACCCTCTCACCTGTACAAAGGACACCACGTGGGATTGCACCTGGATAATCTGGAAAACACATGTACAAACAGGTGCATTCACTTTGTTAAAACTTACATTTCAACATATGACAGAGAAAAAATTTCAGCTACAGAAGGAGACATAATGTATTCTTATAAACTCACACCACTACCAGTTGACTAGTTCCCCCCGTGTAGTGCTAACACAACTGTGTGGCTCAAGGGCTACAGAAATGGAGATGGGTGCTGCCCTATATACAGAAAGGTGTGGGAAAGATTAAGCTTATTTAAAATAACTAGCATTGATTTTCAAAAAAGTATTGGGTATTTTAAATTCATTTATTACTCAGCACTTAAATTTTGTGCACGACAGAAATAAAGAATTTGCAGTATTTCTGACTTCATAGTTGATATAATACGAAGTAATACAGTAGCAGACAAAACAAAATCATATATATTTGTATGTGTGATGAGTTTGTGGTGAAATGCCACTACAAAACAAAACTACAACCACTGCAAATATTTAAAGTTTGACAGCCAATTTATTTCATCTATACTAAAAGTCTTTGACTTGACAACATGGTCAAGAGCCTCTGTAAGAAGAGGGGAGGACTTCTTTATGACTTTTTATGATACCTCTATAATACATTGTAGTTTGAAAATAAAGTCTGTACCTGTTCAGTCTCTACAAAGTTTGCACATGCCCCGGTTTCATCAACACCTCTCCTCTTGTACCTTGTCCCTGAAGTAAAAAATCAACACTATAGCATGTAGGACAGGACAAAAGATACTTGGAAAACTCTCAGTCTGGTATGTTAGAATTTCCTCATTTATCATTTGCAGCAGGTATCAGCAAGTATTCGTACATCTCTGTGTAAAAAACAAACTTGGCATGAAGTACAGACTAGACACAACTCTTTACCTGCTCTGTGTCTGCTGCGTCTGGAGATGAGTGTTATGGTGAAGTTCCTTCCTTCACTGGTCATCTCCATCCCCTCATCACTGGGCCTGTCCTCCTCTCCCAGCATCACCTGGAACCTCTCCATCTGTACATAACCCTGTATGACAGGCACGATCCACCGGTCCGACAACGGGTCCTAAAGATACAGGGCACACTGGGGATAAGTACATGGAAAGTCTTCAGTATCCTAACCCTTGTCCTGATGGCATTCCTGGCACAATATTTTTCAATAATTTCGAGCCTTAATTACATCATAGACCCCCAAATTTTTTTGCCCTGCAGTGGCTGCGGTGTGATGCATTGCATGAGAAATACCCCCAAATTGTACCTATACAAATGTTGTGCTCTGCAGGACAAGGGTTTTAATAGTATAAAAGCTTGAACCCTTACCTCTGATTGGTTGAGGTCATTATAAAAGCTTCAACCTTACCTCCGATTGGATGAGGTCATTATAAAAGCATGAACTATACCTCTGATTGGTAGAGGTCCTTAAAAAAGCTTGAAGCTTACCTCTGATTGGATGAGGTCATTATAAATGCTTGAACCCTTACCTCTGATTGGATGAGGTCATTCAACATGTGGGTATTCCAGAAGAAGCGAGGGTCCACCTGTGCAAAACAAATCAGTTACTGTCAGTTCATTTACTTTGGCCAGCACTTTTTAGCGGGTATGGCACGAATTTCCAGGTACGGCTCGAAAAGACTCTGATCGAGGTGTACATGTAGTACACTGTACATACCTTCCTCCAGAGGGGGCTGGTGGTATCATACAGTTTTGAATGTTGTCTCTGTACAGAGTTGGTGAGGTCTCCGGTGGGACTGTAGTAGAAGGAGTCCGAGTCACTGAACATCTTGTTCAACTCCTATAGAAAAGGATTGGTTCAATCAATTGGTTCATGGCATTAATGCATAATAACAGAATGAAATACGACAGAAAATGCTATATGGAACAATAAAGGTAAAAAAAAGAAAACAGAGAGTGTCCAAAAACTGGTTGCTGTTATACATGTATGTGAAAACAGAGAGTGTCCAAAAACTGGTTGCTGTTATACATGTATGTGAATGTGTATGCCTTCAGTCCTTCATTCACTGCGCAGTAAGACTCTTCAATGCCAGTGACAATGGCTGATACATGTATCTGAAAACCTATGCCTGCTATTTGCATGCATATAGCAGAGTGAATGGTGTTTGTACATATTTGTATATAGTGTGTTTTTCTGTGTACCTGTCCTGTCTTGGTTTTTTAACTTATTGTAAAAATCAGTTACGCAATTCAGGGATGCATGCAGCATTCCCTGCTTTTGTATGATTTTGTTGATTGAATAATAAAACTGTATTGTATATTTCATCATGATCCTGTCAAAAACAAGCTCAGATCTTATAACAGCCATATATGCCATATAGAGACATATATTTACTGGCATTAGTTGTACTGATCATGTGTTCAGAGTCATGCATATCTCTGCAGTCTGCATCAATGATTCTTTTTAAACTAAGAGTCTTTAATCAGCTTGGACCTAGACAACAACCTGTTACAGTTTAGCATAGTAGTGTTTTCATCCATATCTACATTTTCATAGATATGCATAGACATTTCTGTATCATGACAAAGAAATAATATGGACAATGGTATATTACAAAATGTAAAGAACAAAGCAAACCTCAAAGACTCTTCTTTCAAGCTTCTCTTTCTCCTTGATATCTCTCTGGAAAAAAAAGCAATGGGAGATGGCAGACTTTGCAGAAAGTACAATTCACATGACGTATCTGATGGACAGATGTCAACAAAGCTATTAAACTGCATCAAATACCAGTCATAAATTGTTTTCATGAAATCACAGTTTAGGGTACCTTTTTCTTTGGTACAGCGACAGACTTGATAGAGTTCCATGTCTTTGCCAGCGCCCTCTGCTGGCTGTCGAGGGGCGCGGCAATCTTCTCCAGGTTGGAGATGCCGAAGTGATGCTTTCTACACCACTGTAGAGGAACGGGATATTAGCATTATTACATGTGCAAACATCAGTTTGGAGACCTCATACCTCCATGAAACATCTTCAGCTTTTGTAGATATTGTTGAAATGTTTTATTTGTTGTGTCAATGATTGTACGTGTAATTAGCATAATCCACTGTAATGGCTGGTCTTTACTCAAAATGCATATCATATTGTCCGTGTGGAAGTCCTATCCTTTGGCAGGTTTGGCTGGATGACAATAAATTATTCAGAACACAGAAAGAATCACTATCTTAATTAGAAATCTTGTCTGGTGATATCTTTGCTACGGTGAACCATGCATTAAGAGCAAGGAAGACCAGATATAAAGCAGTTAATATAGCCTGAGTACAGTATAGGACTGCTTACCGATTCTGTACAGTACAGAAAAAATCTATTAGGTACAGGTTCAAAATACCAAATCACTAAGTACTGGTACATACTGATACGACACAGATATTACCAAAGTGACATCTAGAAGGAGCATAACTAATATGCAAGAGAACATTCAAGAACAGGTAGAACATTGTTTGCAGCAAAAAAACAATCCACATGGTTCTGTTTTGTTTGAATATGGCATAAGGATGCCTAGTTGTGTCCTCTTTTATCTGAATAAAGATTCTGTCAAGTTTAGTACTGTTTTAATGTTGAGGAAGTACAGAAGAACATAAAGTTAATTTGCCAACTTGCTCAGGTAAAGGTACAGGTACCTGTACCTGATGTTACGTTTAGGTACCCAGCCCTAGATAGAACAGCTCAGTAGTATGACATAACAGTAGTTTACCTCTAGTTCCATCTCAGGTGGCTCTACAGGTGAGAGTGGCAGGATGACCACGCGGCTGATCTTGTACACCTCATGTCCACCTGGTAACACACCTACAGACATCTTCTTGGTCACCAATAGCAGGTGCCACTCCGAGTCTGGAAAAACAAGTTTGTGCCCACAAACATTTGTTTTACATGCTATATCATCTAAGAACAGAAACAGATCAGTAGTATGCTGAGGGTTAATATTCCAGGAGTTTCTTTTAAACCAGTTCCAAATGCTCTACATATAAGAAAAGTATTTCTAGCATGATGAGGGCTGAATTCTTTTTGAGGACCTCACATCAAATAGCATATCAGCATCATCAAGGAATTTTCAAGTTTGGAGTAGAAAAATTAATATTAATGTAAAGTGTAAATTAGAACCCTGAGAATTCATGCTGGTGCTACATGTACCTGGATATAACTGTACTTTGCCGATCACACCGTGGACAAGTCCGAGGCATACAGGGTTCCATGCCCTGCACAGGTCTTCTCCTATAGGGCAGAACACAAACATCTCAGAGTCTATAGTAAGTGTACAAAGTGTCTGAATTCTTTATATAGATGCATGTACTCGTTGCAAAGAGACAAATTACATCAGGGTGCGCTACAGAAAAATCGCTGCGCTGTGCCGCACGTGAGTGGCGGACTTGTTTACACAATCCAAAACTCAAGACGCATGGCGTTCGACGCAGGCCAATATTTTTTGCTCCATGTAAATCAGGTCTTAATGTGTCAACTAACTGTGTCAGTTGGATAAGCTATATGATAATAACATTACTGCCCCGTCTTATCCTCGGTGTATATGGTGAGATACATTGTAATCCCTGGTCAGGTGCGATAACCACCTCATAAACCACCTTGTTTGCTACGCTCACTCAGTGGTTTATTCAGTGGTTATCAGGGATTATCTCACCATATACCTCAAGCAGAGGCATTAACCCTTAATATACCCCCTGGAAGAAGCCCACCAGAAAATCACAAAATTGACAATCATGTTCAAAACGGGGCCTAAAAGGGGCAATCTATTCATTACAAAGAAACAGGTAATTATTAAAAAAGGAAACCTAGGTTACCCAATTACAACTTTAGTCAGTCTTCAGTCTACATTGTAAAATTTTAAATTGATTTTGAGCTTCCACAAGCCCCTCTGTCCTGCATGTACAACTGTACACATACATGTACATGCATGAACAATAGTTTCACAAAGACTACAGAAGAGCCATTTGTATTTTACAAATGATATGTGCATAGGATTTTCTATTTAGCTTAGAACAGATGAAAGAATGGAATAAAGCATTTTGAAGTTGCAAAGAATGACATTTGTTTCTCACCAAGAGCTATAATATATTATCTCATACATGTCTTTGATTTGAAGGTTGATCAATACATTCAACAAAGCCCGGCATGTTCTGCCCATGTGTCTGTGAAATTACTCTGTGATTAATAAGGGGATGTGACTTGAATCGAAACGGAAGGTTGAAAGCATGCAAACTGCCATTATCTTCACATAAAGAACAGATTATGCAGCAAGCCCCAACGAAACCGCAGTAGAATCAGGTAATTTTGTTGCCAGCTCTTAAGCAGAAATGGATTTGTAGTGACAGTCAATGGAAAAATTATGGTAGAAGAATTACAATTTCACAAAAGAGTTCTATAAAGTACCGGGTAATGCCTTGTCTTAAGTTTTTGGAATACTATGAAGATAGAAAGTCCAACATTGGTTCTTGGTTCAAATTTCCAAGAAAGATCAAATATTTGCTACATGTGTGTATGAGATGAATTCTCATTAAGAGGTCAAAACAGAAGTTCTACTGCAGTACCTTAGACAGTTGCTAGGATATCCATAATCTAATCATTTCTTCCTTTGGCCAACACCTACCCACATACCAAAAATTAACAGCGTAAGTTTGATCAATTCACAACTTCTTGAGTTTGTGCAAGGACATACAGACAGTCACATAGCCCTGAAAACATCACCTTCTTGGGAGTTTGAGTTTGCTGAAAAAAATTAAGGACTGAGAACAACCCTGTTCAGTATTTTGTGAGAGGACGAAGGCCCAATTTACATGATGCAACTTTTCTTGACATGCAAAAATCAACGTACAGCTGTATACATGTACGTAGGACAGCTCTCGTTTTACACACACTGACTAGAGTTCGCGCTGCATGCCACCGGTACCGTTGTGACCCACCACGACTTTTAACAGTACATGCATATTCAAACTGGTTACTGGAGAACAGGCACTGCTTGTTTTTTTCATTGAAAAATTTAGCCTGGGTGCAATCCGTTTTGTAATGGGGCTCCTTGCAACTTCTACCCTGGATACAAAAACGGATGGCTCCCAGGCTAAGAGCAAATGATTTCCGGAATTCTTTCTCAAGCATGCATACTTGCAGCACTGAGCATGGCACAAACGTTGGGACATTGTGAGTAGGGGCATGAATAAAAGTATGCCAAGTAGTACCAAGGTCAGCCACTAGGAGGCCCACTTTTGATTTGGGCATTTGTCTTCCTAAGACCAACCCACATACCAAATATCATCAAAATCCATAAAGGCCTTCCTATGTTTGCTGACCATGATTCATGAATATGCAGAGACACAGAAAAACACACAGATGCCCAAACACATAGACTGACCAAAAACAATACATAAGGGTCATCTCATAAGTCATATCAAGGACATTATACAGTATAATGTCCTTGGTCATATGCAATAAAAATTGTTTTTGAACATCTTGTTTTTAACTGACAGTATGGCCATTTTAGTCTTGTTCCTTTATTACATGTTTCTACTCTCACTCTGTATGCTCAGGAAATTTGTGTGATTCATTGCAGTGAGTACATGTTGTATTTGAAAAAACTAAAATTATAACTTATCATAAGAGTATTAAGACATAACACGTTACACGATTTGATAAAGTATAATATATAAGCTTGACATCGGTGGAGTGGCATTTCTCTTGAGGAAATGACGCGAGCAAAACACCATGTGACTTTAAAAGGAAGAGAAGTCACTCCCACCGCAAAATTTGGCAACTTGTCATATATGTGATCATATGTGTCCCGCACTCACCAATGTACAGTACCCACCCCCTAAAACCAAGAAACCTAGCCACATAATTTTTGCACGCGTACAAGAAGTTTTCTTGAATTCGTTCTAAAGCTATGACCTTCTGTTTGTCATCGTTTCCTCTCTGACTAGCACATGATTTTGCTTCTGAAGAAGATTAATCGCCATCCCATGATCAAACCGCAAGCATGTGATATGATGAGAGCCGGTGACAGAATTTTTTTTTCATACTGACCGGTACGAGCGGTGAGTTTGCCATCGAATCGACTGCACCACAGGCTGTGCTCGCCATCCAGCAGGATGTAGTGATCGTGGGCTTGGTACAGCTCCATCACCGCCGCTGTCTGGCCGCAGGAACGGAAGGAAAAAACGGCCCGGGCCGTGTGTTATCTCAGCTGGGTTCGGTCAACCTCGATTCGTGGCCGCCATCTTGGATGTTTTCCGTGACACTCCGATCTCGTTCCCAGCGCAGAGAATCAGCTTACCCTGGGTTGGAGATTTCAAGGGGCGTGTCCCCGCAGAGGCCAATCGCTGATTTCCAAGCAGATGTGGTGGGTACGTTTGGAAGCCAGAATATTTAATGGAGATATCTGTGAATGTATCTAGTAGTCAGTTGGTCAAGATAGCATTATTTTGCGTAAGTCAAATGCTATTTTGATTCTACAGGCATCCACAGGGAGCGGCCTGATGAAATATAGTTACTAGTTCCGGTTTTCCAAGGACTGTCACCTTCACATCCGTTATATACAACTGTATATATAAACAGAGGAAGTGGTAAGTGGTGTTTGCTCTGGAATGTTGCCAAAATGGATGGTCTGGTTAACTTTAAAAAGTAAAATATTTCTGCAACCATGAAAGGCATCACTGATTTAATACAGAAATGACTAGAAAAGTCAGAAAACAGCATGCTATTTCAATGTTCTCATATCAGTGCAATCATTATCGGTTTTGCCAATTTGGTGGAGTGGCTGTGGTCTGTCAATACTATAATGATCTATAATGGATCTTAATGATATTTGTTAGGTGAGAAACGGTTATGGAAACGAAGGTCAACTTCGAAAATGGTTTGCCCGGAGTCTTGCAATGGTACTGCAGCAGGTTGTGTATGTAATTGATGCTTCTTTTTTTTTGGATGTTTACAACCATGGAGGTCTTTTAACTCCATGGTACAACATAGGCTGTGGATGGTTGTTCATGATATCAAGTGGATGGGTAAGGGCAGTGAAGAGGAAGGTCAAGTTTGAAGGCCAAGTGTCAGGTTAATGATTTTAAGTATTCAAATGCTCTTGGCCCTGCGAGTAAGTGGTGTAATTTGGGGCATCCTAGCAGCTTCTCTGGAACTGCAGTGGTCATTTTTTGTTTTTATCTTTTCCAAGTGAATAACTCAAGCAGAGATTGATGAATTTGTATTGTTTAAGAACTTGTATTTTTTGCCAAATGTCTTTGTTCATTGCATATTACCAATTATGTCAGTGATACATGTATTTCAATGTTGTTGGTGTCATGTGTAACTTGCAATTGTCTCTATAATGTGGCTGTTTATTCAAAACATTTTTGGTTCAAATGCAGACATTAACCTAATAGCTTAGTTTCTGCCAGCAAAACACTCTATCAACAAATGTAATACTGCTGTTATATCATGAACCAGCTAAGTCAGTTGGCATCTTAAACACTGTTATCTGTTAACTGCACTTCATAGATGGATACATTGACTAAATAATGAAATACTAGTACTAGTATACCAGAACATATGCATGATGTAATACTTGTTGTATTGCAATACTTCAAGACAAATTTGTACAGATGACATGGCATGACAGAAGAGATATTGGATTTTTCTGATTGTACTATGTATACGTTGCATCAGAACAATAGTCTCTGTGGCACTGTAAACCAACAGATTTTGTCATCAGCTACACATCTGAACAAATACAATATCAATACTGCAAGTGTATGTATACAATTTAGTGACTATTAATTTAGTGAATAGTCTAAATGAAAATTAAGGGTCTGTTGCTTTCTTGATGGACAGATAACTTTCCTCCCTTATCAGGGTGCCTTAGTATATACAACTGGGTAAACAAATAATCTTTAAAATTCAAGCTATTATGTCATAAATCATAAATATCAGACTGTTCCAGCCTGTACATTGGCACAGATATTACTTCAACTCAGGAATATAAGATGCACATATTATCAAAGTTTTCATTGTCAAGCCTTAATTTTTCTTTCTGTACTTTTGAATTCACATTGCCAGTCGTGATCATTTATTGGTAGAGCACAAGGAACAGCTGATTTTAGGTGTGGCAAATTGAGCACAGTCAGTTCTTTTATTCAGTCAAATGCCATGTAAGATCATAAATTAAACAAGACGAAGAAATAATAATCTCTAACTTTGCTACAAGACCATGTATCTGCCCCTTTTGTACACACATTTCTTTGACACAGGAACATGTGATGCACATATCAACGTGGTGAGGTTCCTGTACGTGAAAAACTGAGGTGAAACTAAGAAGATGGATCCTTCAGTTTTCATTAAGAAACCTTAATTTTTCTTCCTGTACACATGGCCAGTCCTGATCAGTTACAGGTAGAGCACAAGGAACAGCTGATTTTAGGTGTGGCAGTTAGAGCAGAGTCAGTTCTTTTTATACAGTCAAATGCCATGTAAGATCATAAATTAAACAAGATGAAGAATAACATGTAAATAATTATATCTGTTGCGAGAAAAAAAATTTGCTACATGACCGAGTGTCTGCTCCTCTTTGTAGCATTATTTGGCTCTGAGATGTATCCGTTTCTTTGTCAGTTTATTTTTTTTGTAGGAATATGAGGCATGATTTACTAAGCCTGCTGGGAAGGTGTTGTCTCCTTCTCTGGAATAAAGTCTTGAATCTTCCTCTGTGCCTGGCGCAGGTACTGCTGCTGTTTGTAGTAGATCCGCAGAACTCCTTTTATCACCACAAACGCGATCCCACCCTGGTTGTTATAGAGAAGAAGAAAAACAATGAGAATCATTCTTGATAGCAGCAAAATGACTTTCGGTGCTTTTGGTGATAACAGGGGTATAACCTTTATAAGTCAGAATTGAACTCAAGACATCTTTGTTATCAACAACATTCTGTATTTTCAACTGTAATATTAATTATCTTGATATATTAGGAAGTTATTATTGAATTCAAAGCGTGTCTCTAAGCAACAATATGTGCCAATTTTAAGTGAAAATGTAACTTTTAAGTGTATACCGGTATGTCACTTATTATTAAGAAATAACTATGTTGTACATGTAGGTTGACTTGTTGTTAAAGTAAACCTTGGCCCCCCAAATCAGCACTGCTGTCTGGGTAGTCCACTGTATTGTGACATTGCGATTTCTGTAAATGAAAAAATAATGCGTGTCTCACCAAGATGGTTCTCTGCAGGTTGGAGTCCACAGTACTGAACATCAGCTTGCCCCAGAGTGTGGCGATGGAGGGGAACAGCAGGGCGCTACAGAGGAGCCTGGTGGCAGAGACAGGGTCTGACAGGGGAGCTGGCTCGGCTGGGGCTCGTGGGACCTGAGGAGGGGCAAATATCTCTGATGTACTGTACATGCATAAAGCCATTTATGCCCTTCCCCCGAATTTGTTCCCGAACACCAGCCAACCTTGTTTGGCTGACGTTCCGACTTTGGGGGGCCACTCTGACCATGCCATGGCTTATAAAAAGAATTTGAGTTAAAAATTTGGCTACCTTCTTATAAAAAGAATTTGAGTTTAAAATTTGACCCCTGAACATGCCCCAAATGCTGCTGACTTACTCCCAAATGGTTGGCTGGTACCGAACCTCCTGATTGACTCCCAATCAGGAGGTTGGATGGCAAAGCTGGTTGGATGGCAAAGCCAGATAGTAGCGAAATTCGCTGAACACCAGATGACCCAGCCGACTTTGTACTGACCTACTCCTAAGGCCTAGGAAAAAAATGTGTTTCCTGTTTCCTGACTGACCCTGGAAAAAACTGCCAACCCTAGCCCTTTTTTGGCGACGCCTCAGGGGGGAGCCTAATGGTACAGTATTGTGTGCAGTTTGCAAGAATTCTAGGAATTGCACAGGCATTTTTTTTCCACAGGAATGGAATGTCTACAGGCATGTCTGGGATTTTGCTGACACACATCTATGCCCACATTCCTATGTAGTGAATTTCCAAGAAACCCTTGGGACATTGTGGAAATTGTACAGATTCACAACTGAGCAGACACATGCTGATTTACATCCCTGTCCACTCCCATGCAACATTATCTAGCTCATATAGCTATAGCTCCCATGATGTTAATGATGTAAGCAGTAAGTGAGTTTTCTGAATTAGTGTAGAACATCTTCCCCTACGTATCATCGACAGTCTTCAACTCTGCTGCATTTGAACAGGTACTATATCTTTCTCTCTATAATAATTGAGAAATTTATTGCAAAATTCATGCCCCGGAGGTTAATTGCCAGTTACAAACATAAAAGAACATTGAAGAACAGTATATAAAATAACTAAAATCCACATAATGAAAGGTAGTTGTCTAAAATTATAGCTACGTCTAAGTCTAAAACTATGTCTGAAGGGTTTGACTTCTCTTTTATAACTGTAGAAGACACGTGTAACGTTATATCTGTACGTCTCCTTCTCAGCATTTCCCCAACATGTTCAGGGTCACAATGTGAGTTATCAGAATGCCACAAAGAGGAGTATCCATTATGATCTAATACCGGTATGTCTTTAACACGTTGCAATAAAGTTTGTCTACGGGTATTTGTAGGCTTTGCTGTAAGAGAGAGCATCCGTTTGAAGGGAGTGTGAGGTTGTGTCCATTTGGACCAAGCATAACCAGAATTTAACTACTAGTATATCTATATACAAATATCTGTATCTAAAGGAAGTCTACCTAATTCTGCTCTACAGGCGACATTGCTTACTATTTCTAAATACACCAAGAACATTTTTACAGAATTGGTTGTGTACATTTTCGATAGGTGAGGTCTCATATGTAGTTTAATATAATATTTCTTGTGGACATCAGATATTGACGTTCAACTTGATAGGTTGTTAACGTTAGGTAAGCATAACCAAATCCTTCGACTAGATCAATTTTGTTATAGGACAATTATTCCCCGGGTAATCATTCTCAATGGCAGATTATTTCCTGTACATTTAATAGTCCTTTATAACAGACTTACGTTTCACCTAAAATTAAAATCACACAAATCTATCACAGTTCCAACAACAGAGGAAGGTTTTTACTTTTTACGATCGACACAGGTGTCCTATAGGGCTCTTTTTATTCATAAATACAATGTACATTGGATGTTGTATTACCTTCTAAGGATTGCCAGGCCGTAAGAAGCACGTGGAAGGTCCCCATTTGGACAACCACACAGAACTGAAAACTAGCCCTTGTAGTGGTGAAACAGACCGCCGTGTTTCCCTGATGGGATAGGAAAACACCTCTAAGCTTACCCGCTGAGACTGGTTACCAGGCTTATAATCTCTGAACTCAGGCCGCAAATCTGTACCTCCCTGTGATGACTGCCTCAAACCAAGCCAAAGTGATCTCTCTTTCCAGCCGACAATCAGTCTGCTTTCCTCACATACCTACAATCATACCCACATTCACAGTACAGTATTGTGTGCAGTTTGCAAGAATTCTAGGAATTGCACAGGCATTTTTTTCCACAGGAATGGAATGTCTACAGGCATGTCTGGGATTTTGCTGACACACATCTATGCCCACATTCCTACGTAGTGAAATTCCAGGAAACCATTGGGACATTATGGAAATTGTACAGATTCACAACTGAGCAGACACATTGCTGATTTACATCCCTGTCCACTCCCATGCAACATTATCTAGCTCATATAGCTATAGCTCCCATGATGTTAATGATGTAAGCAGTAAGTGAGTTTTCTGAATTAGTGTAGAACATCTTCCCCTACGTATCATCGACAGTCTTCAACTCTGCTGCATTTGAACAGGTACTATATCTTTCTCTCTATAATAATTGAGAAATTTATTGCAAATTCATGCCCGGAGGTTAATTGCCAGTTACAAACATAAAAGAACATTGAAGAACAGTATATAAAATAACTAAAATCCACATAATGAAAGGTAGTTGTCTAAAATTATAGCTACGTCTAAGTCTCAAACTATGTCTGAAGGGTTTGACTTCTCTTTTATAACTGTAGAAGACACGTGTAACGTTATATCTGTAAGTCTCCTTCTCAGCATTTCCCCAACATGTTCAGGGTCACAATGTGAGTTATCAGAATGCCACAAAGAGGAGTATCCATTATGATCTAATACCGGTATGTCTTTAACACGTTGCAATAAAGTTTGTCTACGGGTATTTGTAGGCTTTGCTGTAAGAGAGAGCATCCGTTTGAAGGGAGTGTGAGGTTGTGTCCATTTGGACCAAGCATAACCAGAATTTAACTACTAGTATATCTATATACAAATATCTGTATCTAAAGGAAGTCTACCTAATTCTGCTCTACAGGCGACATTGCTTACTATTTCTAAATACACCAAGAACATTTTACAGAATTGGTTGTGTACATTTTCGATAGGTGAGGTCTCATATGTAGTTTAATATAATATTTCTTGTGGACATCAGATATTGACGTTCAACTTGATAGGTTGTTAACGTTAGGTAAGCATAACCAAATCCTTCGACTAGATCAATTTTGTTATAGGACAATTATTCCCCGGGTAATCATTCTCAATGGCAGATTATTTCCTGTACATTTAATAGTCCTTTATAACAGACTTACGTTCACCTAAATTAAAATCACACAAATCTATCACAGTTCCAACAAC